CTGCCCAGTGCTTACTAACACAAATTATACAACCATACTAAAATGAGATGAGGAATATAGCCTCAACATGCCCTCAGTGTAGAGCGAGCAGATCTGACACATATGTTCTGGCCTTGTCCACGATTGTCTCCCTTATGGTTAAGAATTTTTAACATTTTGAAAGACAATTCGTACATTATGCTCTTGCATAATCAACTACTTCAAAAATCAGTAAAAATTAATCTAAAATAAGAAAGGGGGGAAGAGTGATGTAGCTTCTAAAAACATGGATGTTGTTTCTGAGTCTGCAAATTGATGCTAATTTAAAGTGCTCTAAAGCTGCATTTTTAAAGGCCATCAGGGGGCGACACGTGTGGTTCCTAAAAGACTTCCTATAGCAATCTCTGAGAGAACAATGCTCTGCCCTGACCTTCGTTCACGCTGAGGCTGAAGAAGTCACTTGGACGAGTGACGAAATGTTTCTCCCACTGAAAACGCTACGTCCAGATGGACAGAACCTTTTGGGACTTTTATGGGGGGACAATAAAGTATATTGTATGGTATCGAATTACTTTTTTCATTTTTGCCATGTGCTGCTGGGAAAATCCCCATGAACCCGCACTATTTCTGATGACCAGCAGGGGGCAATCGCTCTGGCTGCAAAAGAAGTCCATAGGAAAACAACTCTACTGCCCTAATTGGAGTTGAATGTATGTTATCTTTTATGTACAGACACCAAATACCTGTGGAATATCTGCATGCTGAACTTTTTTTTCTCTACCTTAGTGTATGTGTGTTTTGTCATTGTTCCCCGATCATTTATTTCTCATTTCAAATCAGCAGTGTTGGCCAGACCACTCTGTGTGTGTGTGTGTGTGTGTAGCATGCTCATTTACATAGTGAATCCCTGAAGTGTTTTAATGTGTATCCTTGTCCATGACTGTGCATGCAAACAGGGTGCAGGGACTTCCTTCCTGTCAGCTGCTAGTTGGATCGCCAGCATAAAATACCAGCACCTCTGTAATCCCAGCTTTGATGTCAGTTTCTCATCTACCTCGCCTTTGCACCCAACCCCACCCCCGCAAAAAAAAAAGAAGAAAAGAAGATAGCATTCAAAAAATATTCAGACATCTCTTGTCTTGTGTCGCAGTCACAGGTGACTCCATATCTGTCATACATGTGATATTTAGCATGTTACGTGTTCGTTAAAAAAAGTGTTGAAAAATAATTAAGGATGCAGAGTTTTAATGTTGGTATTTTTAGTGTTGAGGCTGTAATGATAGGCAGTGCTGCTAATGTGTCCTCAGAGCCAGTCACAGTGAGGTGACAGCAAAATGAAATGATATAGGATATCCAGTCATGAAAGTAAAGTGTGTCTCATTAGAGATGTGTGCATATGAGTATGTTTGAAGATTAAGCCCCTCAATAAAAAAGCTTTTGTTGACATTATATTAAATGATTTAATAAATACAAATTTTAAACATGCCAATTAGAAATGGAACACTTTGCAGAACATTAAAGAAATAAGGCAATGAGTAAAAACTGCTGCCTTAAAGCTGGCATGACTTTACGTTTCGCTGACTCAGCAGCCAAGTCTTAACACATTATTATGAAGGTCATTTTGGTTTATAGAAAGATCTAGAGGGCTGAACTGATTCGGTGGGGCTTAACCTTTGCAGTGCTTGTCCCCACAGGTCCTCAGTGTATAGTTTTAAGGTAACACCAGTGGTTCCAGTGCAGTTACAGTCAGAGAACAGTTACTATTCATAATCTAAGCCATGAACCAAGGAGAGAAAATTAACCAACCATCAGCTGTCACGGTGCAAGAAGCAGGCTACAAACTGGAAAGGCCACCAGTCTATCACAGGTCTAACACAGAGACCATTCCCGCCTACAGCTGATTTAACCTAACATGCATGTCTTTAGACAGGCATGGGGAAAAGATGCATAAAGGCTCCAATCACCTGGTGGAGTCAAGCCCAGGACCTTCTTCCTGGGAAGAAACTGTGCTACCCACCAAACCACCATGCTGCCCTGAAAATAAAGCAATCATTTTCATCGTTTCTTAAGTATATACTTTAAAATTATTGCTTTGTTTTCAGTTGTTGGAGGACCTTTGTAATAAAAGTATATTATTAATACAAACTGCTGCATATGACTTCTTTCTTTTCATGCTTTTGACTATTACCTCACTCCCAGTCCTTGTCTGGGGACTTACAAATGTGAAAATATGTGGCCTAATAAAAAGACTCACTTTCCCACAATCCTTCTCTACCTCTGCTGCTCCAGATGTGCATGACTAAGCCCATTAGGTCCTCCTGTGAGTCATGGTAAATCTAAGTGACAATCTACAGTTTGAATTACACAGTAAAAGACACTTAAACGTCTCAGTCTGACTCCTCCATCAGCTGGTGGGCGGCGGATCTTTACTGATTCAGTTTCAGAGGCAGGACAGCTTTGCTCTTTATTATTGTGTTTAAGGCTGAGTGGAACTTTCTAAGGACCAAAATAGTGTCGATCATTAAGGCCATTGTGTAACTCCTCTGAGGGATTTCTTTGGTCTCTGGAGGGCGACTTTAAAGGTTGATCACTCGTCTAAACAGCTGTGGTTATATACATGTAACTTATCATCAACATCCCTTCATTTATCAGCATTTGCTTTATTTTTCATAATATGTTACTGTGGTTATTCTTGTATTGTTTTGTGATATTATGGTTAAGTTTAGCTGTGCTGCCTGCAGATGATCAGCTGTAAACAGTTTGCATACATCATTTCCACCGTGACAAACATCAAATGTGGTTTAAAGTCCATTATAACTAATAAAATCAATTAATTTTAGTAAATTTCCAGTCTTTGCTGTTCTTCTGAGGCTGATGAGTTTCCAGGATGCACTGCAGACTTCAGTGATTACTGGGCTTCCTGTATTAAAGTTTATTTCTTTATCACAGCTGCACAGAATACTGAACCTAAAGTTATGTTAGGAGCCAGTGATGTTAGTAAAACTATTTTAATTAATTCTGGAACTGACTAGCTCTACTTTAAGACATACGACCTGCGTTTACCTGAAAAATGTCAGCGAACGACAAACAAAGAGACTGCTTCTAGTTATTATCACCCAGTCTGTCTTTGCTCCTGTAAACAAGGGTGTGTGAATTTTACATTGTGTCACACTTCCCTCTACACACACAGACCCGCACATACACATTTTTCAGATCCTGTTTGTTTGCAGTTGTCTGTTGTTAAGCTGCTGAGCCGCAGCCCCGGTGACTCCCATTAGACCTGCTGTAATGCTCATTTGACTTTAATAAGACTAATGCTGGTTCAACAGTGACCTCTAGGTCTCTCTCTCACACACAGGCACACGCACAGACCACCCAGTTAATCTGACTGAAAGGACGTGCTAATCTCTGACAACGCAGCAACAATACAACAAAATGAGAAAACAGAGGAAGCAAACAGGAACTTAAATAAACCACAGCACTGAAGGGAGCCTGGCTGTCAATATAACTGTGTCTCCATGGATACATAGCAAAGCTACAACCACCAACCTTTTTAAACACAGGACTGTTTTAAGCAGCAAATAGTCTGCATTTTAAATGATAAAGAAACCAAGATCCAAGTTTGTTTGTTTATTTAAATAAATAAATAAGTTTACAGTTACAGTTGTCACTCGTAAGGTATAAGAAGAGAAAGTTAAGAGCAGAGAACAAACAGATGACGTAAACATAACGAAATGTTATGTGAACATATGACTGATTTTACTTCAAAAATAACACTATGATGCTAAACTTAGCCTCAGATGTGCATTCATCCTCACTTTACCTTTACCTTTAATTTTTAATTGTTTAAAAGTTAAAGACAAAAGATAAAGACACCAAATTTTAAAATGCACATTATTGTCAATATTTTACCATTAATTTTAATATTAGAGTTATATTTGACTAATTCATATTAGCTGAAAAAAATCAATTAATAGCTGGGAAAAAAGATAGATAGATAGATAGATAGATAGGCAGTTCGTCTCTTCTGCAGATAGGTGGCTTTGTCCTGGGACAGGACGTCACAGTCGCGGTGTATGATGGGAAATTTGGGATCAGGTAAGCTTCTGCAAGTCGTTCAGCAGAGCAGACACAACAAACAGACAAATACCGGAAATCATGCGAGTTTACCTTCAAAATTAAAGCCTTTCTTTCATTATGGATTTCTCTTCCTAAAACGATTAATATTGGGGGTTTTAGAATCAGGGATCAGGGAATACAATTTCTTGATGTGCAATTTCTACAGTAATGTGGAGCCATAATACAGCTTCATTTGTCCATTGTACTGTGGAACCCTTGGGTCAAACACAGCATTTTATGTCTCTTTGCTTATGCTGAGAAATGCCCATCATAAATGTGTTTTATGGAACATGATACCAAGGAACAGAAAGACAAATTATATTCTTCAGAATTGGCGAGCACCTTGTGCCAATTTAGTCTAACTGATTAATAACTTTACCTGAGGGAGCAATAAAATGCAAGCTGTGTTAAAAATAGTTGTGAGGAAAAATATTAATCCATCCATTCATCTAGTGACAGAATGCAGAAATCAAGCTCATCTGACAGGAATTCACTTTTCTCAGTGTTTCCAGTTATTTTTCTTCTTTCGATTGCTCCATTTATGACTCACTATAGCGGATCATCTGTCTCGTTCTCACCCTATCACTAGCATCCTCTTCTGTCACATCAACATGACACACTCTGCATGTCCCTCCTCAATATCTTCTCTTTTCCTTCTGCCTGGCATCTCCATGTTCAACATCCTTTGTCCAACACATTGTTGAAGTATGCAGTCATTAATTATTTTATCACTAATAATTGCAGTTTAACATTCTTAAACTGAAAATAGATCCAGTGGTTAAGAATATATATGGATTAAACAACAATCATAGAAACACAAGTGAAATCAAGAAGTACAGGGTCCTTTGTACAACATTTATTTTGAAGTCGATAAGCGGAAGTTCAGTTCTGCTAAAGCTAGCTTGATGCTAGCGGCTGCGTAATGACAGGAGGAGGCGGCAGGTGAACGATTAACAGCGTTCACTTTTCTCCGTCCCTCCTCTTTAAAAATAAATAAACTGAAAGTTACTGTGAGCGGAGATGTTCCGCAGTGACTGACGGGCTCCAGTTTACACATAAAAACCATTATTTCATTCAAACTGTGGATCAACACGAAAGCGCGCCGCGGGAGTTTGGACTTAGCAGGTAGGCTATAAATAACTGTCGGTTGTTGTGGATCTGAAATGAGGCGCAGCAGTCTGTGTGAGAGAGACATCTTTTGTTTTTGTTTTTTTATTGTGTTGTTGTGCAGGAAGATGTTTCTGTCTTGTAGCTGCAGCAGCCGGTGGTGTTTAGACTCAGTGGACACTTTTAAAACTGTTGACAAACACACAGCTGAAATGTGCTGTTGAAATGTGACGCAGCGCTGTTTGTGTCCAGCAGCATTTTATTATCACCAGCGTCCTTATAAAGGTTGGAAAAGACACTTAAATCCATCATGGCTGCTTGGACAGATGGCCAGACATCCAGTTATAAACACATGGGCGGATTATGAGATACTGGGGCCCTGGGCACACACATGTCAGAGCCCCCCCAGAGGAACTGTCAGAGGAACTACAACCCCAGTGGCTGCCACTGTGGAGGGATAGGGTGGCACATGATACACACTGGTGCCCAATGAAAGGAGCCACCAAAAGAAGAAGCAGCTCTTGTTTGTCCATGTAGAAGTGGATTTTCTGTCTTGTCAACTTGTTTCTATTATACATTTGTTTTTCTTAATCTTAAAAGTCTTAAAAGTGTGATCCTGTATTAATGCAGTTGATGGCATGACATGCAAAAAGAGGTGTTTAATAGTGACTAAAGTGACCTTCATGTTGTTTGTTTGCTTGTGAACCCTCGTATTTAGCTCCAGAGGCTCACTTTGCTTCTGTGTGTGATCAGAAAAGAGGAAACTGAAAGCTATGAGTTTTTCTTTGTGGTGAAGTTGCTGACAGCTGTGAATTGTGTTTCTGGGTTTTCTCCGCAACATTCCTGTAGCGGAGTAGCCAAGTACTCCCTGACAGTGCTGAATTACAGTGTTCTTTACATTTTTAATCCACTTTACATTGAAAAAAGTGCATTCAGTGAAACCAATAAGAAATCTGCTTCTGTGTAGTTTTAGGTTGGAGTTACCTGTGAAAGGTAACTCTCCTCACACACTTTGCATTGAGAATTAATCACATTTAATACTGTTTAAAACCAGCAAGCCTTAAAGTGGACCAAGTTAACACAGGATCTGCTTTTATTCAGTCTTACTGACCTTTCACTGAGAACGAGTAGGTCTTTGTGTGTACCTTTTGTAATCAAATTCAAATTCAAATTTTATTTGTCACACACACAACCATACACAGTATGACATGAGGTGAAATGCTTGTAGCTGTGCAATGCCCGACCATTAAATGACAGTGGTTTTACAGTATTTACAATTTACAGGTTATACAAAATTTACAGATTTAACTTAGAAGTTTACAGTAAAAAAATGTGCAAATAGCAGAAAGAGATTATAAATTATAGGAAGTGTGCATGAAGAAAAACCAGAGTGCGTGTGGTGATGTGATGTGTGTGTGAGAGTCCAGTCCTACACCTGGTTCAGGGCCCGAATAGCCTGGGGGAAGAAGCTCCTCCTCATTCTCTCTGTTTTGGCCATAAGGGAGCGGAAGCGCTTCCCAGACCTCAACAGTGAGAAGAGTCCAATGTTAGGATGGGAGAGGTCCATCATAATCTTCCTAGCTTTGGTCTTGCACCGCTTGGTGTAGATGGACAGCAGGTCAGGGAGCTCTGATTGAATGATGCGTTCGGCTGAGCGCACCACTCTTTGCAGATCTCGTCTGTACCTGCTGTATTTATGTCTAGTGGTCCCTCACTCAGCGTTATTGTGGTTTTAATTCTTTGACTAAATAGAGTCTAATATTTTGAGACTGTTTTCTGTAAAATGACTATAGCAGAAACGATTTTGACTCAGGAATCTCAGCTAGAAGATGAAACGCATGTCAACGTGTAGGTATGAATGAGACCTACAGGGTGATGTGACCCTTGAAGTTTCCTGAAAAAGCAGCAGACATGGTCTTAATGAATCATCTATTGCACTATAAGTCAGCTTCTGAGTGGTTGTTCCTGTTTCCGTTGGTCCCAAAGCTTGTTGCTGTAGTTCTGCCACAGCCCTCGCACTGAGGGACCCTTCAGCAGGCATGAGGCTGACTCATCAGAGAGTCACTCCCTTCATGGGGCTGGATTCAGATTAAACAAACATTATCAGAGTTTACTTTTGCTTGCATTTTTCACAGACCTTCCATGTAGTCTATTTATCCACCAGCTGTGTCACGTATACACTTCACCAACAGCACTTTTAAATTATGCTTTAAGCCACCTTTCATATTTTAGAAAATCCATCTGTGTTTACTATTGCACTGCTGCTTCTACTACTAGTACTTCAGTGGCTTCAGTTACTGCTGCTGTCAGCTTCTGTTGTCACTTTTACTCATAAATATTTCAGCTGCATGTAGCACTGATCCCCCTACAGCTCTCACTCTGCCGTTACTGCTAAATAAATGCATAATAAACTCCCACTGCAGATAATGCTGTAACGATGTGCTGTTCTCAGGTCGGTCGCAGTGAGAAAAGGAACCTCGGAGCAGCAGCCATGTTGTCGGGGGAGGAGATTCTGTGTAGCACGCAGCAGGTGATCGCAGGGCTGGAGGCGCTGAGAGGGGAGAACCGCAGCCTGCTGGAGAGCCTGCAGGAGGCGCTGGAGAGCCGGGCGGTGCCAGAGAGCAGCAGCGTTGAGCAGGAGAAGACCAGCATCATCCACCAGTCGCTGGAGAGGATAGAGCTGGGGCTGAGTGAGGCACAGGTACCACCAGGAAATAAAGAAGCAAGCAGTCGCAATGAAATCTTGTGTCACACGTCTTTGTCTTCAAGCTTTTTTTTAAGGCTGAAATGGAAGAAAATAACATTCCCAGATAATTTAAAATTGAACTTCTTGTACTTTACATATTAAACAAAGTGATTTTTTTTTATGAAATAGTTTTGAGTTTACGTTTAGTTTTAATTATTTTAACTGACTGTGTTTTTATTTGAACAAACAAACGTGTTTAGCTTGCCAGGCGCAGTTATTTTGAAAAAGAAAAATTAATTTTGAGACTTGCATTTCTGTCATGAATGGTTGATGACAAACTTAAATGAACTGACACATAAAAATATCTGATGTCTGTCATTTTTTATTATTATTTTTTATTTATTTATTTTGTTGTTGTTGTTCCTGTTGGTGTCCCGAGGCACTGATGACTGTTTTTCCTTTGATTTGTTTTGTCTGAAGTCGGGCTGTTGACAAGTTTTGAGCTCATTTACTGAAGCATAGTCGTTAAGTCACTGATCTCCCTTCATGGTGCACGCAGTCTTCTTTCTGTTGTTTCTGTTTCTGTTGGGGTTACATTTTTTTACATTGTCTTCAGGTGATGATGGCGTTGTCAGCTCACCTCGGTTCTCTGGAGGCAGAGAAACAAAAGCTACGAGCTCAGGTGAGTTTGTCGAAAAGACCTGTATACTTGTGTTGACACTCATCATAGGCTGCTTCATTTGGTCTCCCTTTTTAAATGTTTGTTAAAGCAAACATCTAACTTAGCATTCACCTGTCATGGAGGCAAATTCATATATCCGTCTTTAGATTCAAGATATGAAGCATCATATGTCTCGCCGAAGAAGAAGACGTCCTCTTCACCAAAGAAACAAAATGCAAAGGAGGAAACGATGTCTTAATAAATTGTCTTCCTCTCCCTGCTCATCTCACTCAGGGCTCTAACACATGCGCATAAACATGCTAATCTAGTCCTAATTTAGTCAGCAGATTTGTCTTGTCACACTCCTTTTACTCCCTCCACCACAGTAGGTAGAAAAGCATGCTTCACACCCTGCATTGACAGCTGAGGTAAACAGTGGACTGACAACCTGCCACAGAGGGGGAAAAACTGCAGTCCGGGGTCACTTTGCTATCTGTAGAAAACTCGCTACAGATGAACAGCGGCAAGAGCTTTTGAAGTGACTTGGATGAAAACATAACTGCAAAATATTTAAATGGCACATATTAGTTTTTTGTTTCTTATGTATTGATTATTGTTGATATTTTTCAAATATGTTAAAATAGAAGGTGTACAAAAGCTTTTTTTTTTTAATGAAAACTGGCAGAAATATGCTGGCGGGATGTGGCTGAATGTAATGTTTTTGATCTCTCTTGGCTGACTAAAACATGTTTGTCCTACATCGGCCACCGTAGCTTAGATTAGCACTCGAAGCGCTAAGAAAACAGGATTCAATTGGCTGCAATCTGCATTCTCCTGATATCTACTGGTGAAAACTTTACACACTGTAACTTTAAGCATTTAGATATGGCAGTGTCTCCGTTTTTGTTGCATGGCTCCTTCATTCTCTTGCCTGTTTCCTTCCTCTTCTCTTTGTTATGTATCATCCTCGCTCTCATTTCTGCATCCTCCCTCTCAGGTTCGTCGTCTCTGTCAGGAGAACCAGTGGTTGAGGGATGAGCTGGCTGGCGCTCAGCAGCGGCTTCAGGACACGGAGCAGGAGGTGGTCACCCTCGAGGAGCAGAACAGACACCTGCAGTTCATGTCCTCCATACGCAAGTATGACCAGGATGAGCCGCCTCTGGTGAGGACAGAAAACATGCTAACCCACATATGTCTGCAGAAGAGTCTGTTGGTATTTACCAGCCAGCTGAGAGTTTGAGTAACAACAAACAACCTGCCCTTCAAGATGAGTAACAGGGAGAGTCATATGGGCTCAAAATGTGGTCATAAATATTTTGTACTTGTAAAAAAGATTTGTATGTGTAAAAAAGATTTGTATGTGTAAAAAAGATTTGTGTGTGCGTAAAAAAGATTTGTATGTGTAAAAAAGCATTTGTATGTGTAAAAGATTTATGAAAAAAGATTTGTATGTGCCTAAAAAAGATTTGTGTGTGCGTAAAAAAGATTTGTATGTGTAAAAAATGGTTCGAATTTGTGTGTGGACTTAGAAAAAAAACCCCTGCAAGTTACAAGTACGGATTTTGACCCTATTTTTCTTCCTTTCATCTGATTGGTCAATGTCATGTCAATCACAAATGTTAACAATCCAATCAGAGAACAGATGGGTTTGGCTGTCCGAGGCGCGCTTTGGTTTGAACTGCAGGTCCTTGAAGGGTGATACGCGTTTGTGAAGCTGGAGTATCGCTATATAAATATCGATAGCAGCTGGTCCCCACTTTCAGTACTGTTGAAAGGTAAAGTTGTGGATATATAGTGGTTAGAAATAACATTATACTTTAGGATTAGTTTAACACAAAGATCAGGGCTCCCAGGACCTTGCTGTGAGTCAAGTGCGCAGCATAAAGTCTTTCACATCGGATGCAGGTACGTGGCTATGCTAGACTGCTAACTAAAAGAAAGGATCAAATTTGTGTGCGTTGGCTGCTGGGCTTTGTGGGTTTTTGCGCAGCTCTACTGTCAGCTAGTATGCCCTGCTCCTTGTTTTTCTATTTGACTTTATGTCCTCTACAAGAGTTTGTTTTTTGCTGTTCTTCAAATGTTCAATTAAAACATGTATGCTAATTGCATAACGAAGAAGAGCTTTGTAATGTAAGACTGTATTTCCAAAACACCTGCGCCGCCCCACCCCGGGTCCGCAGGCTGTGAAGAAGGCTGTGGAAGTCCTGTAATTAAACATCTAGACCATTGTGACTACAAAATCAACAAACTCGGACGACCACAGACTGTTTTCCTTCGTGGTGATGAAGGAAAACGCTGGGTTGGCATGTAAAGGGCATTTATTCCCTTCAAAGACCTGCAGTTCAAAAAAGCGCCCCTCGACAGCCAAACCCATCTGTTCTCTGATTGGATTGTTACATTTGTGATTGACATGACATTTACCAATCAGATGAAGGGAAGAAAAATAGGGTCAAAAATCCGTACTTGTAACTTGCAGGGTTTTTTTTCTAAGTCCACACACAAATCTTTTTCCATTACACATACAAATCTTTTTTACGCACACACAATTTTTTTACACATACAAATCTTTACGCACACAAATTCTTTTTACACATACAAATCTTTATTACGCACACACAAATTCTTTTTACACACACAAATCTTTTTTACACATACAAATCTTTTTTACAAGTACAAAATATTTATGACCACATTTTGAGCCCATAGAGTCAGCGCTTCACTGTGTCAGCACAGGAATCTTAACCATGGTGTTTGTGTGTATATTCATCAAATTAATATGCTGAAAGTTTGTCTGCAGCTGGAGGTTTGGAGGACTTTACTAAAGCTGTTGTAATTATATACTGGGCAGAAGGACGTCATGTCCCATCTCAGCAAGTTTAGCAAGTTTTTGCTGATGTGTTGGCAAACTGTTTAAGCTCTAATGTCATAGAGCAACATTAGCATTCATTTGGATTCCAGCTGGTTTGCATCTTATGAATGCACCACCAGTTTTCACTGTCTCTGCTTTAGCTTCAGTCAGCTGCCTTCCTGTCATTGCCAATTAGCGTGTAGGACAGTGTGCAGGTTTATCAGAGCTCGCTGACAAAAAGCAGCTACTGAAACGGATGAACCATATAGTCAACTTTTAAGCTTACGTTAGTACTGCTGTCTTCTAAGTCGTGCTGTGTGTGTGTTTCTTATTTCAGGATGACAAAGACACTTCCTCCAACAAAGAGTCTCTGGATGACCTCTTTCCTGCTGAGGATGAGGAGCAGTCTTCGAGTGAGGCTCTTCTAGGCTTTGAAATGTGTTTTTATTATCGTTTTGAACACCTCCCTGTCTCCAAAATGACAAAACCCTTTTTTTGATAGATTTTTTTTGGATACAGAGGAGGTGTTGAGTAAATGCAAACTGTTTTTAATTTAAATTAGTCAATACATTGAGCGCCACTCTCATCGTGATTTAGTTTGAGTGCTTTGAGAAGTGTCAGCGTTGAAACTGGAGGCAGATACTGGTTTACATCTTCACTGGTCATAGATAAGCTCAAGGTGTAACTGTTGCTTCTAATCCTGATATCTGAGTAACTGCTGACACACAACAAACACATTTTATCGGCTTACACATGAATTTAGAGCGCATGAAGGTGGAAGCATGAAAGCGATCTGTGAATCTCTGTAGTGTGAAATACGACGCCAGTCTGAAGTTATCTTTTAGGACAGCGGCTTCCTTTTAGAAAATGGTGAAACATGAGTACGCATCGCTACCTCCTTTGACTTTTGTTTTTTGACAGCGTTAAAGCCTGACAAAAAAAATATCAACTTTAGTGTTTTTAGAGGTTAGACGACTGCAGGTTGAGTGTGAGTGACCAGGGAGAAAAGATGAAATGGGAAAATTAAAAAATTTCGCCTGCATTTATTGTTACGCTTAAACTTTTCTATTATGATCAATTTTACTTAATTGCCTAAATAGCAGTGCAATTATGCAGCCAGTTTTCATGTAATACATCTTTATTTGGGCTTAACACCATCCATCCATTCGTCTTACTTTATTTGTGAGACATACAGTATAGAAAACAGGTCAAATTAAATATTAGGTTCCACCCTGCCTTGTTTTTGGCCCTCTCTGTTAGACCTGTTAAAATGATCCAAAATGAGTTTCCGTAGCAGGACCTGGGCCCTTCTAAAGTCAGCATGGTCTTGCTTTTATTTGTTTGTTTGTCGTTTAGTGTCCCAGCCTCACCACAGCAGTGCAGCAGCTGCAGCCCAGCAGGGCGGCTACGAGATCCCCGCCCGCCTTCGAACGCTCCATAACCTGGTCATCCAGTACGCATCCCAGGGACGATATGAGGTCGCGGTACCGCTGTGCAAACAGGTGGGAGGGGCTTCCACTGTCCTAACTGTTGCTAACCAAAACAAATCGCCTGACAACCATTTAAAATGACCTCATCGTGTCTCCGCAGGCTTTGGAAGACCTGGAAAAGTCCTCTGGCCACACCCACCCAGACGTAGCCACCATGCTCAATATACTGGCGCTGGTGTACAGGTGATGTCAGTTAGCATTGCAAAAGCGTCTGTATTGGTATTTACAGCTACCGCGGTGGCACTGTCAAAGCTGGGTTAACCATTCGAGGTCTTCCAGGCGACTCAGAGTTCATGCTTTATTTGTTCTGGTCGAGTACGTCATGTGACTCTCCTTCAGTTCAGAAATGTCCTCCCGGCTTTCGTCTCGTCTAACCCATCAGTGCCGTTTGTCTAGCTGGTGCACGTCTTTTCCTTCAGCTCTGCCGGCACAATGATGCACTTTAAATGTTAAATGTCTTCAAATGTTAAAGACGTAATGATGCTGCAGAAAAAGTGATTTATTATTCAGTTTTAGATGGAAAGAAATGGTTTGTTGTGCTTGTATCAGTTGAGGTAGGCGTATAAATGCTTTTCCTGCCCGGTTTGAGCCGAGCGTCCCGTGTAAGCAGTTGGTGTGCAGTAATTGAGCGGATCGGCTTCTCTGTCATCAGCATTATATTGCTCTGACTGGTTGTGGCTTTGACTATGGCTTGTGATACTTGGCAAATTTGAGGTTTAATAAAAGTTTCTTGTAATAGATGATAGATTATCTGAAACTCTTAGGGAGGAAGTGTCCTTAACAAGCCAAACGCTTCTCACTGGGTGAACAGTGTGGTTTGTGTTGTTTCTCTACAGAGATCAGAACAAATACAAAGAGGCCGCCAACCTGCTGAACGATGCTTTGGCCATCAGGGAGAAAACTCTTGGGATGGACCATCCGGCTGTAAGTTACTCGGCTGCACTGGAAGAAAACTTATAATGAGGCGGCTAAAACTGGTTTCAGCGTTCTCTTTCATCAGCGTAAACATGAAACATAAAACCTTGTGGGTTACAAGAATTTTGATCCTCATTTGTTGTTCGTTGCTTCCGACATGCCTGACCTGCAAATATTGGCTCCCTTTGTAGTCATTTCATGTGGTTTAGACTTTAGTGAGTGAGCTGGTGTGTATTTGTGTGTGTGCGTGTGTGTGTGTGTGTGCATGTGTGTATGCAGGTGGCAGCGACGCTCAACAACCTGGCAGTGCTTTATGGGAAAAGAGGAAAATACAAGGAAGCAGAGCCGCTTTGTAAAAGAGCTCTAGAGATCAGAGAGAAGGTAAGAAAACACCTTTGTATTACAACAGATATCCCAAATTCCTACTAATAACTCACTTTAACCTTAATCTAACCTAGATTATGGATGCCCGACTTATAACAGACTAAATGTTTTGCTAATTTACTTCCATCCATCCATTCTCTGCTGCTTATCCTTTTCAGGGTCATGAGGGGGTCTTAGGGTAAGAGGCAGGGTACACCCTGGACAGGTCACCAGTCTGTTGCAGGGCTAACACATAGACAACCATTCACACTCAATTTAAAGTTTCCAATTAACCTATCTGCATGTCTTTGGACTGTGGGAGAAAGCCGGAGTACCCGGAGAGAACCTACGCACAGGGAGAACATGCAAAGACCCCAGCCTGATGGTGGAATTGAACTCCGGAGGCAACAGTGCTAACCACTGTGCCACCGTGCTGCCCTTGCTAATTTACTTAAACACCTAAATATGTCCTCTATCCTTCGATGTCACAGAGCTGAGTGAGCAGGCATCCCCTGTATCACATACTGGAAGTGTTATGGAAAGAGTAACTGGTTGATCGTCCCTCACCGTGCACCTTTTTTTTTTTTTGTCGCCTCCTCAGGTTCTCGGTACAGATCATCCAGATGTGGCCAAACAGCTGAACAACCTGGCTCTGCTGTGTCAGAACCAGGGGAAGTACCAGGAAGTGGAGCAGTACTACGAGCGCGCTCTGCACATCTACCAGAGCAAGCTGGGACCAGACGACGCCAACGTGGCTAAAACCAAGAACAACCTGGTGAGAGGAAACCTCGTTGTCTGGATTACTGAGGCTGTTGTTAGTTTACAATATTATTATTTTTTCAATCATCATTTAAACCCCTCCCCCCCCCCCTCTCCCTCAGGCATCATGTTATCTTAAGCAGGGGAAATACAGACAAGCTGAAGCTCTTTACAAAGAGATCCTGACCAGAGCGCATGAAAAGGAGTTCGGGTCTGTTGAAGGTACAAACAGATTACTTCATGTAACTGCTCATGTTTGTGTAATTGTTCTCGTGACACGATGACATTTTAAGAGCGTGAGATAACCACAAGGGATCAGTTCGACCACCGAGTACTGAGAAAACTACCTAACGCTGGCATAACACATTCATTTTTATCATTTTAACATGAGCTGTGATTCATTCTGCTCAGTTTTAGCTTTCTGTGTTGTCTTTGTGTATTCATGTTGAATTTGGCTAATGTACCTTTTTTAATGTTTGCATGATTCGCATTCAAATATACCCTATATTTACCCTATAAGCCCCGGAGTTTGTCCTTAGGGGCTTCTCTGACAGCAGATACATGACACATAATAGCTTCTTTGCCTCATATACTATTTCATCATATAAGTCTCAGTCAGACTCTGTGGAAATCTGTCATTTTTGTAGTTTTACTTCAGCAGTTTTCATATTTTTAAATGTAGGTCTGTCTCAGTCTTTCTGCAAAAACTGTTTTATTTAGATTTTGTTTTGTATACTGTACAGTTTTATATTGTTCTTATCGTATTGATGTCCAACTGTGTCCAAAAAAAGAAAGAAACTTCAAATTTCAATATAAACAATTGCTTGTTTTATGTCTGTTGTCCAGGTGACGGGCGTCCCAGCTGGTCCGGCGTGGTGGAGGACGGCGGGTCCACACAGGACGGACTTAAGCGCAGTGGCTCCTTCACCAAACTCAGAGAGTCGATCAGGCGAAGCAGCGAGAAACTGGTCCGAAAGCTGAAAGGAGTCGGAATGGAGGAAACAACCCCAAGGAATGCTGGGTAATATTCTGTAAACAAGGTGTTTTAGCTCCAGCTGAATGCTGAAAAGCCACCTGATGAACAGTTTGTTCTGCCCCGTTTTCAGGATGAAGAGGGCAAACTCTCTGAATGTTTTGAACGTTGGCGTCAGAGAAAGTCAGGATGGCAGCGAGGTGAGCAGACTGTTAACCACACAGTCTGAAAACCAGAAATCTGCAAGCATCTCGTGCACATTTAAGATAAACGTCACCTCTTAACACACATTTTGTGTTTTTGTTGATCAGTCGAGTCAGCTGACGGATACTCGAGGCTTGAGCTCCAGCACTCAGAGTCTGATGAGAAGAGGCTCACTCGGTGGGAACAGCTAACGCAAAAATAAGAATATCCCCTAAAAACGCAACACCTTTCAAAGATGACGATCGGCACAGAGCAGTGTGTTTAATCAGTGTGGGAACATCAGGCCTGAGTGGATTCATCATTTTTAGTCTTCAAGGAAAAAATATAATTGACTCGACTAAGATGCTTCCAAAAATCTGACTTTTAAAATTAGTTTGTTTCATTCTAAAAACGCACAATTTCAGTTTTTTCTTTTTAAAAAAAACAAAACAAAACAAAGCATAAATAGAGGGCTGGGTCATGTGATGAATTTTAACTTGACGTTATCGGAATTGCACTATGACATTTTTTTCCGGATCACTTGAAGTTTTAAATCCCGTCATTCCTGGTTTTAGGTTCAGTTCTATGATTTCCAGTTAACTTTTGATCTTGAACTCGTAGGACCTGGCATCCACATATGTGGACATCACATTTTGGGTTGTCTAGACCACAATACAAAATTTTTCCCAATCAGCTCAAATAGCAAACAGAAATTAAAAATGCATGCCATGAAAGAGTTCGCGTCTTAGCAGGTTAATTTTAAGTTGTGCTAAAATCACTTTAATCTAGTTCAAATGCATTTCCCCTGCAGACTGTTTTTACACAAACGTGACCACGTTACACTAAGGAAAGCGGCAATCTGTAGGTTAACATTTGAACTATGGGAAATTTTAAGACACTTCACTTGATGCTTTGATACTAAAGATCATATTTTTTAAATGGAGTTGTTTGTAATTTGAGAAGCAGTGCAGGGATGTAAAGTTCTTTACACAATTTTTAAAATGTAAAGTGTAATTTTACGTTCGAGGAAGATGATAAGCTATCAAAGTTTACACTGTTTAAAGTTAAAAAAAAAAAAGGTACGTGTATTTTGCCTTTAAAATGTGCTGGTCATGTATAATTTATATTGTTAGACTGCTGCGTTATTGGACCAGAAGTCCTGCTCGGACACGATGAAAATAAGGAACAACTTTAAAAAAACAAGTTGGAGCAGTTTCAGGATTCCAGCTGTTGGTTTGCACCTTGTGAAAACAAATTGTCTTTACAAAAGCAAATATTTGACTTTTTAGCTTAGTACTTTTTACAGTCAGTACTTTTGCACATATGTACATAGGTAATATCTTCTAACTGCTTATGGATGTAAATCATTCTCCAAGGCTACGTTCACACTGCAGGCGAACGCGCATCAAATCAGATTTTTTTGACCCTCTGCGACTCATATCCGATCATGGTGTGACAGTGTGAACGGCACAAATCCGATATTTTCAAATCCAATCTGGGTCACTTTCGTATGTGGTACTGAATCCGATACATCTACATTATTATGTAAATAACAAAATAACTTAAAGCAAAAATTGGGAAACGTCAAGTCTGAAGTCTTTATATTAAGGGCCATCAGTCAAACGATATAGTTTGCTCTGGGTCTAAACAGAGCGCGTTGTGTGTGACGTCTTCTTTTGCGCATGCGGGCCGCTTTGAGCGTTCACACTAGAGCGCGTTTGCTGTCGCATTTTATTTGTAGTGTGAACAAGCAGACAAAAAAAAATCGGATTTGATCAAAAAATCGGAATTGAGCATTAAGACCTGCAGCGTGAACGTAGCCTATGTTCAGTATTTATTGATTATCCGTTTGTTGCATTTTGAATTTCAGATGTGTAAAAGTCTCCCTAGGTTTGTTGCTGTGTGCCCAAATGTCAGCTTTGGCCTGATAATTTTAAACTGGTTTTGAGGTTGAGATGAAAAAATAGCAGCGGCGGTACAGCTTTGTAGCCAAGTTGAAAATGTTTCTGGCAAACATCACTGATGTCTAACCAGGAAAGTAATCAAATCATGAGACAGCCAACAAGCAATGAGAGAGCAAAGGAGGGGACGGGTGGATCGCTCAGCAGCCGAGTGATACATAAATATGATGGTGCATTCGAGGCTTTCACTCTACGCTGGTAGAAGTAGCATTATCAACTACTGAGGTAGCCTACGTTTAGATATTGAGGTATTCGTCTAATGTTACATCTATGCTTTTCACTGAAATGCCTGAAATCTACTACTACAAAAATTCTACTTTCTGATATTTATTAGAGATATTTTTTTAAACTAGTTGAACTGAAGATTTGTTACAAAGAGCGTTGAATAACAAGTTTTACACAAACACCTGAGAATTCTGATAATAGACTGGGTCCCTGAAAGCAGCATTACCACCTGATCCATGAAGATTTTCATTCCATGAGACTCCTCGTAGGAATCTTGTTTTGCATTTGCAGTGGTAGAAGACAGCCACTGCAGTCTGTTTAAAGGGCTGAAGTCGCACCGTGTTAGCTGCTGTTACACGACAGTCTGTTACAAGCTGAGTGAAGCACATGTAAGAATGTGGAAAAGATGAATATTTGTTTTATATTTGCAAATTTGAGCTGTAATAAATTAAACTAAGACACCGATAACCCTTGTATGTGTGTTTTCTTTCCTCTGTGTTTGTCTGAAAATGTTTTCAGGGTTTCATAAATTAAAGCCCTTTTTGTCTAAATATTAAGATCAGCGAGTGATGGATGGACACTTTCGATTCAAACACTTCCCACAGAAGAAAAACACAAGTCAGCTGTTAAATACAAACATTTATATTCCAGCTTCCTGGTTGGAAAACAGTATAAAACAGCATTTATGTACAGCTGCAGTAGAAAAGGAACCTGACAGTATTCTTGTCTGTATGACAGACGCTGCACAGACACCAGTGTTAGTGTCACATCTCTGATGCAACACGCTGACCTACTGACACATTTCACCAATCAAAAGAAATTTTTAAAAAAACTAAATGAATTGAAACTTCTGCATCACGGTAATGCTGAAGACTGAAACACGCACGTTTAGAACTTAGTCAGTGTTGCTGGACTTTCTGTAGCATGTGCGTCTGCAGAAGCAAAGGCTTCTTCCTTTGATTAATAAAGGGGAAAATAAGTTTCATGGCAGCAGTTTACTGCTCCGTACTTCAGTGAAAAGCTGAACAGAGTACTGAAATATGTACTTAAGTGGTTCAAAGGTCTGCAGATGGTCTACTCTGCAGACCGAGTGCAACCTTAAATACTGACTGACCCATGAGCGGCTTTGACTGAGGCTCACATCGTTGGTGTGGGAGCGGCTCTCCTGTCAGAAGTCATTACTGTCACCAGCAGAGCTGAAAATACTTTAAATACTTTTACAGTATTTTTACCACTTGGGGGAAAACAGACACTTAAAACATAATTCTGAGTTTTTCCTTCCTAAAGTTAAGGTGGACCTGCCCTTTTAGAGCAGACCCATATTTAACCCTAGTCTGGTGACAGCTGATGACTCTGTTTATGGTGCTGCTGTGGTGACAATGTCATACGGTTCGTGTCACCTTCAGGTCTGATGAGCAATCTGAGTGATTTTCTGCAGCATGTCCTCCGACTCCAGCTGCTCGAGAGTCAGCAGAGACAAACCCAACTGGTCCTCCTGGAGAGAAAGAGAGAAGCAAGCATGGCTGCCTGGTCAGCTGTTGTCCGGAAACCTCAGCGCTCATAAGAGCTGTGCAGCTCCGTGCAATTCAAACTGCTTTACAGCAGCATTTATTCATCTGATCAACAAAGTCAGGTGGCTCATGATCTCGATGGCAGTGGGTTGGTTGTTCTGGTGCCAGAGTTGTGCCAGTAAACAATGACACCAACAACTCGTCAGACACTTTAAGATTAATTTGCTAGATTATAAAACTTTTCCCCATTTAAGGTATTAAATTATAACATTAAGTTTCATTTAGCTTCAGAAATGAAGCAGACTCTTAGACAAGAGGACAGATGTTTGAGCCAATCACGGGGAGAAGATCACTAAACCCACTGCTTTGCTCCTTTTAAAGCCAGTGTGTTGTCCTGTGTTTGTTTACTCGTTGCAGTGGTGCTTGTGATGCTTGGCCGGTTGTACCTGTCTGAAAGGCTGAGCCATCTGCCGCAGGAAGTGCTTGGAAAGCTGCACGGCCTCGTCCACGGTGAGGTTCAGACTGCCGTCGTTGATGTGCTCCTGAATCCAGCGGGGTAGCTTCCCACGTTTGTCTGCTCGTGCGTAACGCTGCAGAGCACAGAGGAGGTTAGTACAGACTTCGCTCAGCTACTTCAGCGTTAAACTCAAAGGACTGCTGCTGTGAAGCAGAGTGTAGAAGCCTGGAGTACTGCGGCAGGATCAGACAAATATTCAGACACACCTTGTCAGCAAAAATCATGAGTCCATAGTCAGTTTTGCCTCGGATGGCTCTGCCTACGCACTGAGCCGCGTGGCGCATGGCGTCAAACGTCAGAAAGTCGTTCTCCCTGATCTGAAACTGATCCCGAAGGTACTCCAGCCGAGCCTGAGTCGAGTTACAGAGAGAGAAAAACCCTTAGGGAATCACGACAAAACTATCCAGACTGAGAAAAGGGAAAGAACACAAACTAAAATGTGTGGTTTTGTTCCTCGTTTGATAATATAAATCCTTAAATAGCAAACATCACACAAAATATGAATAGATTTAACTTTCTGAGCTTTGACCCCACACAGAGGTGACTCTGACCTTTAGGATGCGGCTCTGCGTATAAACATACGGCACTCCAAACATGATGACAGCACGGCCATAATGGTGCACTGAACAGAAAACACAACGAGACTCAGAGTCAGCGACAAAGCGCACGTTTGCTTCACCTTATCGTCTCCAGCCACGCAGGACTCTTCTTCTGCTGTTTGCTTTAATTTGTCCTGCTGGAGCCGCACAGAGCAACTCGATGACTTACCGAAATCGATCCCTTCAGACACTTTTCCTCTGGCCACAGACAGGAGGATGGCTCCTCGGCCGTTCTCACACGCCTAAACAGCAGAGACAGAGAAAGGTCAAAGGTCATAGTCTATCAACACAAAAGACCTGAACATCTGTTTGTTTGTTCACGGCTCAATTTATGATTTTGGTCTCTTTGTTAGTTAAATACTACTACAATAATGGGTCTGACCTCTTGGTATTTCTCCAGGGCCATGCTCGTCTCTGCAGCATCCTGAGTCTCGATGAAGATCAGCTTGTTTCTCTGGATATTCTCCAGGATTCCCTGCAAGCGAACGTGACCCCAGACACAACAAAAACACACAAAATTAATTTATTATTAATATATTAGTTACTAAACGGACTGGGATTAAATAAGAGAATGCTTCTTCCTGCTCATTTTTGAACATGTAAAGTTATCTACTGTGATTATTTTTCTCTTTATGTTTTATTTTGTTTGTGTTTTTTCCTTCATTGTTCTGTTTTTTTACATGTTTAAAATAAAACCACTTCACAGATTACAGAAAGATATGTCAGATTTCTACAGCTTCACGAAAGGAAAACGGCGGTTGTTTCAGTTACTCAGATGCTTGTGGATTACACACACACTGACCTGTTCATACCAGGACGCCACGATGTTCTCCATGTAGACGTAGCTGGTGAAAAACGCCACAATCCCATCGGGAACGATCGCAGACATCTCCAGAAGCAGGTTACCATAATTCCGAATCACAGCTGGAGAAGCAAACATGAAAATTATCTCGTTACACGTTGATGAAAACACAGCGTTGTCATTTGTAGTTGTACGGCCTTTGATTTGAGAGGTCACGCTCAAATAGCACAAGTTTTTTTTACTAACCGAAATCTTCTCTGGTCTCAAACTTGGAGCTCAGGGCCACCTGGTCGTTTCCTCTGCCAACAATCTGTGAAAGACAGAAACAAAGTGATGGAAATGTTTATGTTTCTCTCCTCTTTTTGTTCATGTCTCCAAGGTGGTGCTGCTTTTGTGACTCCACCCAGGACCACAGTTGGGTTTTTTTCATATTAAGTGTTGTTACAGACCAGAGGGCAGAGGCAGGTGCGCGCCAGTGTCATGGTGAAGGACGCCATGGTAACCGGGCGAAAGTCAAGGATGCGGGGATAGATGTCCAGGGGGGAAAGTGTCTGAAGAGAGGAGAAACATCAGGGGTAAGATGGTGAAATTAGATCAGGCTTTCATTTAGATCCTTCGAATCAGATCTTTCATTTCAAAGGCTTCAAAGAGGCGATGACCTGATGTCTGTTGACTCAGGAACAAACGAGGTGCTTCTAACGGCTTCACTTAGACGTTTAAAACTAAGAACAAGACACTGCAAGAAGGAATTCAGACCTGCACATGTAAGAAAAACTCAGCAGTCACACGTGTCGTTGAATAAACAGCAGGATTATATTTCAAGACATAACATGTTGAATGGAAGTTTTACAGTATTATGATGTTATTATAGGAGGTCTGCAGGGAAAAAATGAAGCGAGAACTTCACCTAATTTTGTTTCAAAGAATAAAAAGGAAACTTGATTACTTCACTCACTGTGCGGACGTCACCAGATTGTTTTTGTACCTTTAATGAATAAAAATTGTAAATTAAATGTCACCGGAAATGAGCAGGAAGTACGCACCCCTGAGGTGATGACGACTGACTGGAATCTTTGGAAAACTGGTTTGATGGCTATAGACGGGTCCATGCAGCTGAGAGGGGAACAGACAAACACACTGACCTGTGATACACAGATATCAACCTGGCATCTCCTTTTGTGTTAAAACGCTTTGTGTAAAAGAATGAAACTAAATGACAGTCACAGGTAATCTCCTCTGCAGACGGCGGCACATGAACTCAGAATTCATTGTGCAGCTCACCTGAAATGCAGCACGGGGTTGGCGATGGTCGGAGTTCTGTCTTCAAAGGGCTCGATGATGATGGTGAAGCCTTTTTAGACACAGAGAGATACTACAGATCATAATCCAACAGCATCTGCGTTTATTAATGCCACCGTGTTACTTGGAGTTGAACAGAGGCGGGACTTTTTACTACCTTGGCTGTAGGTGCTGACGAGAGTGGCGAAGTTCGAGATGAGAGTAACAGCTGAGAAGTCTGCGATGTCGGCGATCTCCAGAGTTCGAAGCAACGACTGCAACCGCTCTGCACAAAACCTGGAGATACAAGGAGGATGGATCGGTGATAAAGAGACGGGAAACAGAAACAACCAAGACACTAAGCGAGGCTGTTCGCATTCGCAGAAAAGAAGCTGAAACTGACCTTAGAGGCTTGCGGTCGATGCAGACTTTTTCGAAAATGTCTTTAAGGAACTGCGGCGCGCTCTCCTGTACGACGTGTTGGACCCTCAGACGAGACTTCAGATACTCCAGGAAGCGTCTCATGAAACCTACAAAGTGCTCGGCTGTACGAATAGAGCCAGGCACCGCCTCTGACAGAAAGAGAGGAGGATAGTTTGTGCTCATGTCTACAATAAGATTCGGCTCTTCATCTAAACCCGTCCAGAAAGATTACAGTTCCAATGTTTGGAGTTTGATGCGCACGGAGGACTTAATAGAGACAACTTGAAATGCTTACTACTAGAGATGGACCGATCCGATATTACGTATCGGTATCGGTCCGATACTGACCTAAATTACTGGATCGGATATCGGAGAAAAATAAAAAATGTAATCCGATCCATTAAATATCACGAAAGCACCTCACAAAACTTGCAACACGCCGTAACTCACCTCAGAACGTTAGCACGTCGGAGCAGTATGCATCACGTGATAGAGCGGCTGTGGCATGAGACTGTCGGTGGTCTGGATAGCATGTGGAGCTTCGCTAGCAACCCGGCATTTCATCTCCGACAAAGTTATCCCCGAGAGAAGTAAAGCAAGTGTGTAAGTCCATCTCTGAATGTTTGTAAAGCATTCCTGCGTTAAGCTTAACAAACGATATATGGAGCGACTGCCTCTCCTTGCTGCTACTTCAATCATGAAACTGATCAATGATCAGCTGATCGTCTCTCTTCTTTGTTTTTGGCCCACTTTGCACCAGAAAGAGGAAACCAGCGGCTGAACAACAGCAGCACGTTTAAGCTTGATCAGCTGTTGTTAGAATTTATTTAATATTACTTTCTACTCGAGGATCTTTTTCTACGTAGCTGACGGCTGGTAACTGTGCAGGGGCGGATCTAGCAAAGTTTAGCCAGGGGGGCCGATAGGGCATTAACAGGGAAAAGGGGGCACAAAGACATACTTTTCTTTCTTATTCTCATTTAAAATGTCTAGCTTTTAATAAATAATTATCTGACACCCAAAGTTTTAATTTGATGCAAAATGAATAGAAGTCCATTACTGTATATAGTGACTATTAAGTCTAATATATATACCCTAGTAAGCTATAGTACTTTTTCCTTTGGGAAGGTACCATCTGTGCAGTCTGCAATTTTGTTGAAGAAAGATGTTGAATCTATTTAATATTTCTTGAAAAATAATTGATTTCTGTGCATTTTTTTTCACACTGCATCAAATTAAGGTTGATTACGTCGATTAAGCATCATGAGGTGGAGCGTGAGGGGTGGTTCCCTATTTTTTATTTATTTATTTTTGTTGTTGCTGGGAGTTGGAACCCTATTAGTTAGGTTGCTTAATATTTACGCTAAGTACTCTTTAAAATACCAGAATAGGGAGGATGGTGTAGGTTTAAGTTTATTAGATTGATCAGTATTGCTGAACTATGAAATATTTTTTTTTGCATACAGGTATAACAGAATAGCTTTAGTGTAGTTGTTGTTTTAAACTTGAGTATGAACTTATACAAAATGCAGCAAGATATTTTAAAAAACAGTTTTGTTGATTAAAAAACACTATATCGGATTCATATCGGTATCGGCAGATATCCAAATTTATGATATCGGTATCGGTATCGGACATAAAAAAGTGGTATCGTGCCATCTCTACTTACTACCAAACTCTGCTTCTAAACCAGCGCTTCAAGATTTACTCTGAGCTGAGAGAACAATTAAAGGAAAAACCTTGAAGGATTTCATCAGGCAACACCGGATTTGCGAGGTAGATGTCGGTTTCTCTCGCCACATTGGCTTCCTTCAGCCCCTCCACCAAGCGTCTGTACTCCTCCCTCAGCTTAGCAGCATCCGTCTCCTTTATCCTATAAACACAGGCAGATTACAGTAGCTTAGATTAATACTCATTCGTAAGATTTCCTTATTTTCTGTCTCTTTAATCTGTTCTGCAAAATTACAGCCAGTAAGAGGAGCAAAGACGTTCCAATTATTGGTGCAATCTTTCATTCGTTCAGGAAAACATGGATGCACTTCCATGTTGCAAGTGATGATGCAAGCATTACTTGTGTATGGTGTTCTGGAGAGTGTCCACGTTGGTCTGACAGCGGTCCAGCGTTCGCCTGGTGATATTTACGCTCATGGAGTCGATGCACACGTTGTCTGAGGAGAGAGTGAAAGAAAATATGAATTATTTTAAATAATTACTGTAAACAAATTCCTAAAATAGACAAATACATTCAGTTAAATGCACCGAATGTGCATATTAGACTCAGATTAATTGCTCACCGATATTATGAGCCTCATCAAATACCACTACAGATTTCTTTGCCAGCTCTTTAGACACCAGATCAGCTATCTTGGGGTCCAGCAGGTAGTGGTAGCTGTACACCACAATGTTGGCATGCAGGATCTGAGAGAAATCAAGAGGAAACAAGCTTCAAGATACAACATTAAACTCTGGATTATTCAGTAATGAGAAGCTGACGTGTTATCATTTATTTTCCAATTAGAGCAGCCAGTGAGAAAAATGTTTTTCCTATAAAAGCATGCAAACAGCATTTTACATGTAATAAAACACTCAAAATCTCATTCGTGTTCATACACATTACATGGTCACGGATTTGGCGTTTTCACAGTAACTCACTGAATAGCGAGCCAGATAGTAAGGACACCAGCCCTTCCTCCTGCCAAAGGCCTTGAGGTCATCAAGGTTGTAGATGCCAGCAGGAAGAGGCACCTGTCGGCCGACTGAATCGAACTCCTGCAACACAAACCAGGTTTTCCTGTTTCCCAGTTTTCAGGCATTGCAAACCTACACAGTTTGTATCTGAGACTTATAAAACTTTATCAGTTCCTGAGTTCATGTAGGCGACAGCCAGAAAGCAAAAACACTTTTCTAATCTGCATATCTGATGGTGTCGAGTAGTGGCTGGATTTAGATTTTCAGGCTGATTAAATGCTCCTAACTAATCATGTCGAGCCAGTACGTTGTAATCATCCAGCACAGAAATGAAAAGATTACTAAAGAATAGAAACCTGAACTTGTTTTTAAATCTTTAATCCATAAAGATCAAACCCCACCCGTTACGTTGAAGCCTGATGCCGTCATGTCATCAGCCATTACAAAAAACAAAACAAAAAATAACTTCTGCTTCTGCTGAAAAACACCATCTGATGTGAGTTCTTACCTCGTAGAAGCGACAGACGGGCAGGTTGGGGTTGCTGTGATGTTGTGCGCGGACGTACGATGCTGTCAGACTGTGGCACTTCCCATCGACTTCCTTACCGAAGCGCAGAGAGCTCACCTGTGTGAAGACAAGCGTGTCGGTCACTTTTGAAAGGAGAAAGCTGAATCCTGAATCGCTCCTCTGGCTTTGTGGGATGCAGGTGTTCATACCTCAGGGTGGATGCAGAGGTTCTTCCTGGAGGAAAGAGCAAGAGCCAGGAAGTTGTTGCTCTCTCCTGTTTCTTTAGTGTAAAACTCCATCAGCTTCCTCAGCTCCTCCACAACCTCATCGGAAAGAATCAAACACAGTCTGAGACGTCGGGGCTTTGAAAGCTTCTTCTTGTTTAACTCAAAAAGAAAGTTACACAGTAGAAACACGCTTCACTGACGACTGATTTGACGTCCACTCACCTTCTCGATCTCTGGAACTGTTCTAGAGCAGTAAATTAACTTGGTGACCTCCAGAGGGAAAGCCTGAGAGAGCGAGAACATATTTACATGCTAATCTGCCACCAGCTGTTAGTATGAACCGTTTATGAGAGAGGCTGAACTCACCCTTTGGTAGGCCACAATGAGGGACAGTAGAGAGATGGTCTTCCCTGTTCCTGATGGCATCTCCAAGACTCCATGACCCTGAACGGGAACAGGTTCGGTTAACACAGAAAGCAGCAGCTGAAAGTAAACACTCACTTTTAAACACGTGTGTGTGTGTGTGTGTTTGTGTGTTAGTGGACACACTGTACTTCCCTGAAGGAGCAACAAAACACGACACGATGACACAAAACACTGTAACTTTAGGAATCATCTCTTCACCTCCAAGGAAGAAAAGGAGGAAATACATACATGCATGACTGGAAGAAAAATGTGAACTTTTCTTTAACTGGAAACAGCAAAGAGCAGAAAATATGATCATCCTAAATAACTGAAACAACAACTGGATAAAAAAAGATGACTCGTCTTCCATCTTCTTCAGACCAAAATGAATTTATCGCTTCCTCCTCTGTCCCCAACAGCAGCTGTACAGGCTTCATATATCACATGTCCTCCTTCACCACATCCATCTCTCTGAGTTCTTCCTCTTCTCTCCTGCCTGGCAGCTCCATCTTCAACAACCTCTGACCAATATATCCACCATCCCTCCTCTGCAAACGTCCAGCCTCTCTAACTTTGTCTACAAACAATCTCAACCCTCTGATGTATTCAACTGTAATCTAACCAGCCTGGTCACTCACAATGAAAATCTCAACATCCTCAGTTCAGCCTCCTGTCTTTTTTACGGTGCCACCGTCTTCAAACCAAACATCATACCAAGTCTCACTACCATCTTGTAAACCATGCCTTTCACTCTTGCTGATATTATTCTGTCGCAAAACACTCATCTCCATGCAATCCACCTCTCATCTCCACTGTTCATTACTCTCGTTCACACGTGTCATCCAACCCAGGGTATTTGTGTAGATAGGAGCACTGTGCATGAAAACCACACCTTCAGATTAACCTCTAACGCCACCCACCTTGGCGTCCAGCGTCCTCTTCAGCTCCAGCATGTAGGAGTACTGCTCGGGGTAGATGTAGTCATAGGGAAAATACACCAGCAGACCCTCAATGTTGAGCCTGCAAGGAAACAGCAACGATGCTAACAGTGCACAGCAGCTGTACAGGCTTCATTCTGGACTATCTTTAAGCCAAGTATGTGTGAATGAGTGCGAGACATCTAAAATAAAAGTTAAAACAATGATTTGGATAAACTAGAGCCACAAAACTCTGATTTTATGTGGACTTGGCTCAGGTATGTCACAGTTGCTGGAAACGCGCTAACACTGAAAGCCCGTGTTGTCTGTTTGTACTCAGTAAAACACTCACTTCATCTTCACAGCACGTTTAGCGGCAGCTCCTCTTCTTTTTACGTAACTTGTGTTATTTTAAAACAGTCATTAAAATTTGAATGTGCGCCAAAAACACAAAACAAAACGCCGCATTAGCAACGCCACAGCCTGCTACAGCATTTAATTCTTCTTCGTTGATCGTTTGAACGCTATCACACGGATTACCGCCCCCTGCAGGCCAAAAGGAAAACTAAATACTCCTCTGTAATGCTTCGAAGTTACATTTAAAACCCGTTATTTAATCAGTTTATAGTTATTATCGCCTTTTATTTATTTTATTTATGTATTTACATTTAGATTTGACTACGACTACTTCAACTGGAAGTGTTAGCCTGCTGCTATCGACGCTAACTTTGACCACATGCGAGTCATAACAATTTCATTTCCGGTGAATAGTTTGAAAAAGAAACGCTAACATAAATGGTATACTGTGTTGCCAAACATCGACACAAACAGCTGTTACATCTTACTGTGTAGCTGTAAATGTGACTTTTCGGTCGTCTTGCTTGTTACGTTATAGTTGTAATTCACAGCTGTGCTTTCTCCATGCTTTCGTTCATTATTTGGGCTTCAGCGTCTACAGCAAAGGCATGCATGTGTTGGGTAATTTCATTATATTTTGTGTTATTTGGAATACCCTATTATATAACTTTATTTTCACAGGCTTTTCCGGAAGTAGTTCCAAGTCAGCTGCATTAATGAGATTTTAGTCATTTTAAAGAGTTGCCATTCCAAAGAGTGACCACACGGGGGCAGCACATGGCAATAAAATCACCCTTGTGCACACTAGAATCACTAGAGTCCTTTCAAAATACTCCTATTGGGATGAGTTTTTCATCCGCTACCACAAAACAAAGCAATCTGAATTCTCAGAATATATTAATAAATAATTTTATATAGACAGTCAACAAAATTACAGTCCTTTGTTGTTGTTTTTTGCTTTCCATGTTCTTCAGTTTCACACATTAACATTTATTATACAGATTTACACTTTTACTGCACCTGCGCTGAATTGAAAACTAGTTTTTAGTGGTTTGAAATTTAATCTGAAAACTATTAAAAATGAATCTTTTTTTGTAATTACATCTTTATTCACCTCATCGCTGCATGTCAAAAACACCCATAAAGTATGCCTACTAGTGTTAATGTCTGTAAAGTGTGTGTCTGCAAAGAAGCAACCGCAAAGTTTTTGCAGTAGGAAACATTTTATTCGTACATTTACAGATTAATTATACATCATAGATGACATTTGAATAATAGGCTACTGTGAACATGCAGACAGTGAATGTCAGGGAGGCAGAGAGTGAGCCACAGTATGTATAAAGACATATCTCAAAACTCAAAGCAGCACCTTTTCTTATTCTTACCCTTAAAGCTTTTAAACAACACCAACATTAAGCATACCCAGCTTCTCTCTGATGATATATATTAAAAAAAAACAAAAAAAACAACAACAACAAAAAAACAAGGTTAAACCTGCCAGTGAAATGTTGATTAAATGGGATACAATCATATTAGAGGATGACAGTAAAGTCAGCAGCAGCAGAGTTGATGTAAAAGAGTGGAGATGTCAACATTTCATCCCCAAATCACACCTTAGAAAGCAAAGATGAAGAATTTAACCTGCAGCATTAAACTAGTAGTATTAGCAGTTTGTAGCTTAGTCTATGTATGCAATGTTAACTCTGCTGCATAAATACACATTTATCCTGAAAGAATTAATAGCTGTGCAGCTGGAGATTCCTCCTGTTTTCCCAGGCCGATCTGGAGACAAATATATTTGACTCTGCAGAGAAGTGAGCAGGAAATCCTCAGTGAGAGTCAGATTAACAGGCGATACAGATTAAAGGGAGCAGTGGTGATGTTACTGCAACTGTGCTGGTTAACTTGGAGCAGGGCTGCCAACTTTCTGCTCTCAGTTGGGGTGAGATGAGGGCCGCGATGTTTATGTGGGACAATTAAACACACAAAAATGATGCATGTCACAGGTGAAGGACAGCCTGCATTTCCTCTGATAACTTGTTTGTTTTGCACACTTCTCTATCCCACGCTCTCAGCTGGGATGTACTTGTGGATCAGCGCAGCTGTTTTACTTTTCTATACTAGGTCCATTAAAAATGTGGGAAGCTGTCTCAGAATGTGGGACAGTTTTAAAAGACGATAATCTTTTTTTGTGTCACTTTTGGATGCCTCCTCGCTTTAAATAACCCAGAAAGAGGAGCAGCGACGTATTTTAGGTAATTTTCAGGATAAATCTGCCAAATTTTTTTTGCTGGTAAAAATTCTAAACGCCTCTTGGCTTATTTTATTGGTTAAATTAATGATTAAAGGTGTCGTCCTCCTATACAGCCTGCTGTTACAGTGTTTATGGATGTTTACCGTAAGTTGAAAAGTTTTTTTGAAAAGCTTTGTTGCAGGGTTAATTAATAGTTCTAAATAACTAATACAGTTAGCTCTGTTGGACTGTTTGGTTAAATATGTGCAGCTGTTTCTTCTGTGGGGACTCCCACATGTATCCTTGTGAAGCTGCAGGTATTTAATACACTCACAGGAAAGACTTCCCCCATCAGCTGAAAGCAACAGGATGCTTATGGACCTGTTTTGGTTCTAAAATGGGCAGAAAACACCTGCCCAAAAATAGATGCAAATGGGTGTATTTGCTTTAAATAAAGGAGGGTCTGCAGGTTTGTTTGGACACCGTGAGAATGATGATGTGCATGTAACCGTTGGCAACCCCGTGTTATAGTTTAAATGTCTATGTGCATGAGGTTCAGCTTTGAAGGCTCGAGCAGCAACGTCCTGCATTTCAAGCTTCTTGAAGTCTTTTATCACCTTCAGACTCGGCTCTCAGGAGTTGGTGAAAAAAAAAGTTCTCCTCCCTCCTCCGTCAGTCCCTCCATCTTTTGTCTCCATCAGTCTGTTCAGAGTTTTAAAGGATATATTAAACCATGTATAAATATATCTTTTTGTCTCATTAATCTCAATCACAGCTCGCAGTGGTTGTCCTCAGCTTTGTAGCGGTCCATGATGCTCAACACATCCTCCAGGATGGATGGGCCCAGATCCAGGTTCAACCCCGCAATGGAGTCAGAGCGCGACACACCAGAGGGCTTTGTGAGGCCGGCGTGGTGAAAGACTGTGCAGGGCGACTCGCTGCGTTCGCTCCGAAGATCCTCGTTGCTCAGGTAGGTGTCGGAGTCCAGGCTGAGGCCCCGGCGAACGTCCTGTGGCCCGCAGATCTCTGACATGGAGTCCTCGGAGGAGCCCTCAGAGAGGGAGCCGGAGGAGGGGACGAGTCTGCGGATGGCTGGGGAGAGGGAGATGTCACGGCAAGGCTCGGACGCCAAGCGACCCACCACGCCGTTCTCACAGAGCGACACAGTCGGGTGCTGCTGGCGCTGACCGTCTCTCTGGCTGCAGCCATTGTTCTGTTTGGGGCTAGCCGCAGGAGGCTGCTGATGGTGGTGGGAGGGACCATCCAGATGGAGGCGCGGCGGTTTGGGTGGAGCCTGTTCATGAGCGATGAACACAGGCATGGAGATGGTGTTCTTCAGCAGGCCGCTGGACGAGTGCTGGTAATGGAAGCCGTTAAAGGCGTAGCTGTGCACGTCATCTTTCGCGGTGAGGCCCTCTCCCAAGTCTCTCTCCATGCTGTGCGAGCGGGCGTGGCCGTTCTGCGTCCGGCTCGTGGGTGGCAGCATGTCCATCTTACCCTGGAGGAAGCCCACGTCTCCAAACATGTCGCCCTCGCCTTCGGGCCCTACGTGTGCGCTGTGACGCACGTCGCCCAGCGGGGGGCTGATCATATCACCTGAGAGGACGTCCCGGAGCTTCAGCTTCTTTCCCTTCTTGGGAGTCGTTGTTTTTAGGTACATGGGCGTCTTTGCAGGCATCTTGATGTGGCGGTTGGGTTCCTCGGGCCGTTTGAGCTCCTCGGGCCGTTTGAGCTCCAGCAGGAGAAATTCAGCGGGAAGCAAACAGTGCTGAGTTGATAAGAAGCTCTCTTGGCTGTTTTTCCCACTCTCAGCTCAGATATTCAGTCTCTGCTGCTTCTCCAAGCGAGTAAACAAGTATTTAGGTCGGTCAGAGTAGCGATAGCAACCCGGCGGTTGAGCCTCACACTGACATGTGACTCAGGAAGGGAGAGTAGAAAGGCCTTGATCTCAGATCAGCTCCCTCTGTCTTCCCCTCCTACGCAGAAAATCCATATCAAAGCGAACGCCGAGCCCTCGTCTCCTCAAACTCTCGTCTTTATCCCGGCTCAGGCAAAGAGCACGCAGGGGATCAAGAGTGGGATCTCCAGCTGCCTCGCCGTCTGCTGCCCGGTCGGTCCTCCAAGTTCCTCAGAAACTTCAGGAATGTGACATCAAAACACTGGAGATCTGTGAGGAGAAATCAGAGCGAAAAGGGAGTCAAAAAGAGTCTGAAAGAGATCGAGGGGGAGAGGAAAAGCAGATAGATGGGACAGAGTGAGGAATGAAGCCAGGGGGGGAGATTTACAAGCACTTTTTCAGAGAGCCAGAGGACACTTGAAGGAAAACACTCCAAGAATCCACAGTGTTTGCTCAGAGGGCCCTGCCTGCCCCACACTGTGTGAAAATGTGTGACTGGAGGTCCTCGGGCTGCTCTTACAGAGTCACGCATTAGTCTTGCATTCCCAAAGACCCTTCAGCCTCGTCAGTGGAAACAAATTACCACACTGAAACTGTCGGTTTCAAAACACTCGTGCCTAATCACAGCATCTCATCAGGAAATAAAGTGTCTTTCCCGAGAAAGACACAGGGAACACCCGAAGCCTCGAGATCAGAACTCCAGTTATTTAACTGGTTAAACATGTAGAAGTGCAGGTTTTTCAGGACCACAGTTTATCCACAGCTCTTCAGTTTCCACTCTTTTACTTCAGTCATAGCAGATTAAACCTACTAACACTGAGAGTCGCCTCACCAATGGTTAGAAAACAATAAAGGGGTGAAAAAACAGGGAAATATCCGATACTGACAAAGTGTCTGAGGTGAGAATTTGTTCTGTGCTCAGTAACATGCTGACCTTATGCATCTGTGTTAAATTGCTTAGGAATGGAAAAAACCAGCTAGTGTGAATGGCTGAAAGAGGCCAGCAGTAAAAAGCAGTTTGTGTGTTCAGTAAGAGCAGAAAAGA